AGCGAACCTGGGTTGGCAAGAAGGTGATTTTTGGCAGTTTTACAGCAAGAGAGGGGATCTTCTGGGCTCAGTGGGTCAGGAGCACAGCGTTAACAGCAGGAGCACAGGCCTTCATGCCCACCCAGGAGCTGGGGGCTGGCAGGTGGCTTCCACCATTGAAGGGGTTTGATTTTTGTTAACTGCAATTCACATCTTGCATTTTCCGCAGAGCTTCTGCAAGAAAAGAGCTGGTTTCAGATCCTTGTTGGTTATTTTGTCTTTCCCATGCCTTGTCCGGGAGGAGGTGGTGGGAGCCCCAAGGAGCCAGTGTGGATGATGGAGGGAAAGGCAGAGCAGGCTTGCAGGCAGGTCATGGATTTTCTGTTTTGATGACTGACTGCGAATCCCTGGAGCCTCAGGCAGGGGACGGTCACCTCTGTGACCTGGCTGTCCTTGTGGTGGCCAGGAGCAGGGTGTTGGCTGCAGCAAAACTGCTGGGAAAACCCCACGTGGTTCAAGGCACCAAAAGCATCACGGCAGGAAAAAGCCTCAGGGAGGAAATGGGTCTCCCCCTTCTGCTGGGAAAAACCTTATTTGGAGTTATCTGCAGCAGACTGAAATCAAAGTTTTCCCAGCCACCACTGTGATTTTTGTCCACAGGCTGCTCCAGATTCCAATATAACTTGCAGAACTGGCAGCAGGTTCACCTGATTCATTAATTAGAAGTTTTAAGGCTTCACAGTGACCCAGGAGTTTGGGACTGGGGCAAGAAGCCCAGGAGCAAGCCTGGGACCAGAGAAGGGCTGCTGGGGGGCTGCCAGCTGGGTGCCACCCCCTGCATCCTCTTGCATCCCACGTTGCCATCATTCTTTGGGTAAAATTTCATCTGGCTTGACTCCTTTTGGGGGTGGTATCTCCTTGTTTCTGCTCCCCCACAGCTTGGCTTGTCCCCTTACGCAGCGCCGAACATCTGACATGCAGTGAGTTTACATGAGCTCAGCATTCCCTGTGCACCCTTCCTGCGCCACGGCTGGGGGTTTGCAGTTGTGGGTTGATCCCCCCGAATCCTGCTGGGCAGAGGCCGTGCAGGGGCAGGTCGCAGCTGCCTGGGAGCTGCCCTGTTGTTTGCTGCCATAGTCTGTTTTGAAAAGGCAGCCCCTGCTGCTGTTTGTTTCCAATTAGGCCCTGGGAGATGATTCTGGTGAGGCAGCGGCCGGGCTAATTTACCAGGCAGACATTTCATTGAATTATCCCGTGAGCTGCAGAGCAAAACCAGGAGAGCAGAGCCCAGGCTGGGGCAGGACTTGTGGCAGGGTTCGGCATGATGCTCATCGTGAATAACCGTGCTCTGCCCCATCCTGAGCCTGCTCCTGAGCTCTGGTGGGAGGGTTTGACCCTCGGCAGGTGACAGGGACGAGCTCAGGACTGGTGGGACACACAGGGTGAGGAAGGACAGGGGTGTCTCAGCTGGGCTGAGAGTGCTGGCGGCTGGCAAAAACCTCGCCATCGACTTGCAAACCGTGCAAATGTGCTATGGACGTCATTGAAGGGGAATAAATATAGAAGGCTGAGATGCCACTCGTTCCCAGAGTCACTTTTCAGGCCGTAACTTTGCGCTGCGAGGCAACATCAATTAAAGAAAATGTATCTCTGCAGCAAGCAGTTCTGCACGCCTGCCCGGAGCAGTTCGATACGGCCACGGACCCTCCCTCCACCCCCTCCCGGCCCTGCTGGGAACAGCGTGACACCGCTGCCGAGATCTCAGAGCACTCCCCGAGAGGCAGGGAGGGAGGCAGCCCTGTTCCTATAAATCCTGATTTTATTCAGTGATGGTTTGTGTGCCAAGAGGGTCCCGACGACCACCCTTGGGTCGTCCCTTCTCCTGAGCTGGCCAGGAGAGGGTGAGCAGTGAGTGTCAAGGCATCTGCTCAGCTTGGGGCATGTGAATATTTAAATGACTCTCAGCTTCCTTTTTAAGCCAGAAGGAGAAATGGGACTGTGGCCTGGGATGTTGGGCTTGTGCAATCCCTCTGGGATGCTTCTGCATCCCATCCTCCTGTGGGAGCAGGAGCTGCAGGGCTGTTTGGCTCATAGTACAGCCCAGGCTTTTATGGGATCCATAAAAATGTACAGCCTTTTGTCGGGATGGAGTGGTGGGGCTGTGTGGAGGTGAGGCAGTGGAGCCCAAAATGCTCCTTTCCCAGCAGCTTGGGATGTGTTTGGGGAGGGTGGATGAAAAATGGACATGGGCTGATCCCCAGTGGCAGGAATGTGGCTTCTGGAGCTGTTGTGGAAAGGCTGCTGTAGTTGTCCTTCTCCTTTCTGGGCTTATTTAGCTTATAATTCCCAAGACCCCAATTACTACTGAGACTGGGGCTCTTGCTCCTTCCCTGGGAAGTGTTACATTCCCTTATGCATCCCTGCAGGAGAGAGCAGTAGGTTAGAGAAGGCTATTTGATAGGCACAAATTACTTTATAGGCACAGACTGGGTAGAAAATTAACTACTGGGCTCCTGGTGGGGCAGGGTTTGGAGGGGAGGAAACTTTCTCTTCCCTGAAAGCATTCCCTCCAAAGAGATGAGGAAAGGCAGCACTTCCCTTCTGGTTCATTGTCATTTTTGCCTTTCCCTAGCATTCAGTATTTTAATAAGGAAGTGGGGCAGGTGAAATGCTGATCCTGGCAATGCCAGGAACAGGAATGCTGGAGTTGGGGTGTATGGAAATCCAGCCATTCTCAAGGAAGCACCAGTTGGAGTCTCAGCTCTCAGAGGTGACCAAAGGGTCCCCGAGGCCGGTCACTCCCTGCCCAGGGTCATTCTCCGAGGCCACCTGCTCGCTACAAACTTCAGACTAATTGGGTGCTGCTCTCCGAGCTCTAAATCAAATCACAGCTCCCATGAAATGAAGTTTTTTGGATGCGAACGGCCGCCTGCCTCATCCATCACCGCCCTGCTCGCAGCATGTCCCTCCTGGGGTCATCGAAGGTCAACTTTTGCCTTTTCCAGCCACCCACTGTTACCTTTTCCCTGTTAAGAAAGGCACCTGGGGAGGTGTCACCCCCCCCCAATGGCTCCCTGTGTGTCCCCCTACGCTCCTGGCAGCGTTTCAGGGTGCGGTTTAGTAACAAGGGAGCAGGAACGTGTTGGTCTCTATTATTAGCTCTGCGCCGGGTCTCCTGATGGATGGAGATATTAGCTGGGTTATGGGCCTATTGATTTCTCCAGGTTGGTTTTTTTTTTCCTTTGTTTCGTGTGCAAGAGCAGCTTGAGGAGGAAATCCAATGCGTGCCCACCTTTTGGCTTCCTACAGGAACTTTCCAAGAGCTGAAAATCAATTTGTGGCAGGCAGGATCCTGCACGTCACCACAGCGCAGTGAGGAGGGTGGGTGATTTTTGGGGAGGGGGGTGGTTCTGCACGGTGCCCGCTGGGACATGGCAGCAGTGAGGGGCCAGGGCAGAGGTGGGCAGGTCTCGCCTGGAAGCTGCCACCTCTCTCTGTTAATTAGGGCCGCGTGGCCAGCGGGTAATTAGATCTCCTCGGCTGCAGCGGGCTGGCACTTGGGCCCTATCAATTAGCCCTGCTCTGGCCGAGGCACCGAGGGACGCGGGGGCCGGTAATGAAAGGCAGCTGAGCGAGGCACCGCTGGAGGTGATGGGTGGTGGGTGCACCCACTTCTCTCAGTTTTGCTGAAATGGCAGGTTTCAGGTGCGGGATCATCCCTTCCTGGCAGTTTGCTTTGCCCACCTTTGCAGCATCCGCCTCTTATGCCCTAACAAAGCAATTTATTTAGCCCCACTGCGGCGACAGAGGCGGCATCAGTGGGGATGGGGACGCTGGGTAAACAAACCCCTTGGGCAGTGGGATGAGCTGACAGTAGTGGGGTTTTTTCCCTTGTCCCTCCCAGGGCCGCCGTGTCTCCCTGTGGCCATGCAGAGCTGCCTGTCCCGGCCGGCCACCCTGGGGCCGGTGTGACCACAACATCCTGCCTGTCCTTTTCTGGGTAAGTGCCCGTGGGGTCATGGGGGGATGTGGGGGCTCACCTGCCCTGGGCAGGATGGAGAGGAGATCTCCTGTCCCAGCAGCACCTTGGCCACATTGGCCACTTGCGATGATGCATCCACCTTCCTTGTAATTAATTTTAAAGAGGAAAAGGCCAAGTGCTGACTAAGCAGGCATGTGCCTTTCTCCTGTGGAGCATTTCTCTGAGCTCGGGAAATGTCTCCTTTCCCTGCTTCAAGGTAAAGATTATTATAATAATAATAGTAATAGTAATAATTACCAGCAGCAGGATCCCAAATGCTTTTTGCCCCATGCGGCCTCCCAGTGGCACGGGCAGATGCTGAGCCCCATCCCTGCAGGCAAAGCAGGGCTTCCTGCAGGGTCCCAATTCAAGGCAAATTCTTGGGACACTGGGAAAGGCAGGTGGGTGCAAGGGGTGCTGTCAGGCGACGACTAACCTCTCCCTCCACTTCTTCCAGGTCCAACGCCTCCGTCACTGAACGTAAGTATCCCTTGGGTCCCATGGCACAGGGATGGCAGTGGGGCCTGCTTGGCTCATGCCAAGCCCCTATTAGACCCATTGGTGCCTGGCAGGTGGCCAGGGTGTGATTTCTGGGCTCAGATTGCCAGGATTGCAGGGTCCAAAGGCTCTGCTTTGGATTTTCCTGGTGGAGACACAGGTTTGCTTCAGGGTTTTGATGAAGAAGGTGGATTTTGTGCTGGGAGGGTTGAAATCATCCCTTTGGGCTCATTAAGAGGCAAGGCTCTGCCAGTGGATCGCAGGGTGTTTCCCAAAGATCCCAAGCCAGAGCAGTGATGGCAGCAAGGGGATGTGATGCTGCATCTCACGTGTCCTCTCGCTAAGAGGAGAATGATATTAGGTGATAGTTTTCCAACTGGGGAGAGAGGAATGGAGATGCGCTATTTTGGGATGCCTTGTAGGCATCACATCTATGATGTGGTGACAAAACCATGGTAGGTGACTTTTGTGTCCCTGTTTCTCCACCTTGCAGAGTTTGATGGAGAATCGGTCGGATGACAGCGGGAACTGTTGTTATCACCGGGGGAATCCTAGCGACGGTGATCCTACTGTGCATCATTGCTGTGCTCTGCTACTGTAGGCTACAGGTCAGTGTCCCCCACTTTGCCAACCCCACCTTGCACTGGAATGGGCTCCCCAGGGCAGTGGTCACAGCCCCAGGCCTGCCAGAGCTCAAGAAGTGTTTGGACAACACTCTCAGGCACATGGTGGGATTTTTGGGGCTGTTCTGTGCAGGGCCAGGAGTTGGACGCAATGATCTTTGTGGGTCCCTTCCAACTCTAGATATTCTATGATTCTATGTTCCTCACACTGAGCTGCTGCTACAGGAGGGGTCTAAAAGGGCCTTTTTTTGATGTGATGGTAGGGAGTTGAAACCCCCCCTCTCCCCAGGTGCTGCAGAATTATGTCCTTCCCTGCCCCTGGTGTAGGGGGACTCCCCAAGGCTTTTGAGGCTCTGCAGCACTTGCTAACTGAGGTGCAGGCTTGGCTGGGTTTGCAATACCAGATGGAGATTTTTATATAATTTTTTTTCCCCTTGTAAATTAAACGAGGAGGCTCTCAACAACAGCTAGCTACAACCTCCTGCTCTTTAAAAGTTAATGTGCAGTCTGTGCCATGCAGCAATGCCTGTGTGATGAAAAGCACAGCGCTTACTTGGAGCAGTTTCCAACTGGCAGGGTGAAATTCCTTCCTCTTGCAAACCTCGCTGGGGGGTGAGGATGAGTTCCCTGTCAGCTGCCTCCTGCAGCTTGCTCGGGTCCAGGTTTTGTCTGGCTTCAGGACCCAGGAACAATGGAGCAGAGCAGCAAGAAGCCACAGAGGGTTTCTCTGATGGGGGAATGAGGGAAGCAGGGAAGTGGCAGGGCTGGCTGAGAAGCTGAATCTGTCTGCCGGCTGCTCCACTTCCCCTCATAAAACCCATTCTCTTTCCTGCAGTACTACTGCTGCAAGAAAAATGACTCTGATGAGGAAGAGGAGGAGGAGGAGGAGGAGGAGGAGGAAGAGGAAGTGCCCGACCTCCCCACACACTCACACCTCGGCATGTGCAACGCCTGCAGCTCCCGCATGGTGGATGGCCAGGGCAGCCCCGCGCCCCCGCCCAGCGAGCTCAACCAGCACGGGGCTCACAACTACTGCCCGACCTGCTCCCCCTACGGATCCCCCTTTTACATCCGGACTGCCGACATGGTGCGCAACGGGGGCGAGAGAGTCACCTACACCCCTGCGTGCTACAAGGAGATGGGGCCGCCCATCAACATGGCCACCCTGCAAGGCTACACGCTGAGCCGGCACGGCCTCCTCCGCGACAGCTTCCCGAACCCGCGGGCCATCAGCACGGAGGTGTAGTCACCATTGCCACTAGCACAGGGTGTCCCCAGCCAGCGCCCGCTCGAGGGAAGGGGCTTTTCACTTGTCTTTGGGGGTGTTCCCACAGGGAAGACCCCGTAGGCCCAGCCCCAGACCAGCACGGTCCTCCTGCTGACCCGCCCGGCACGGCGAAGCTCTGCGGGCGAGAAGGGGAGCAAGACCTCGAAGGGTGACGTTGAACCGGCCACCTCTGAACCCATCATAAGTGTCATTATTATCTACTCTGTCTCCCAAAGGGACTTGTCTAACGAGGGCTATGTACAGTACAACCTAATTTAATTACCCCCGGCTCCCTGAGCCCAGAGTGAGGCCTTGGGTGCCCGCTGCCTCTGGCACACGGTGCAATGGGTGACCACCCGCCAGCTGCCGCCCCTGGCAAATCCTGCTGCCGAGAGGGGCATGGCTGCACTCCTCGGCGATGGGAAAGCAAGGAAGGGAGGATCCAGGTCGCCCTGCTCCCCTCGTGGTGCATCAGTTGTCGCTAGCAGTTACCTTTTCTGTTCGAGTGTAAGATAGGGCACCGCGTCCCACCTGCTTCGGTCTTCGCACGTGCTGAAGAAGTTCAAGACATGAATTTAGGTCACTGCTGGGGGAGGCAAAGCTGCTCGCCAAAGCGCTCACCCACGCGAACGGGCACAGGCTGGTCCTTCTGCGGCCGAAGCCCCCACCTCTTCTACTCTTCACAAGCTTTCTTAGGAGCAATTTTAACTTGGACCCATCAAAACGGAAAGATTTTACTTATGGGAAGAATTGTATCCCTAAATAACTGCAGTTTTGTTCACCTTCTGCTTTCAAAGCCCTACCCAGCCCACCCTGACAGCTCCAACAGCCAGAGGAAGGTTGGTTTTAGGATGAATTTTGCTTTCAACAGCAACAGCAGAGCCCACAAGGTTGCATCTCCTCCTTTGCAGGGCCCACAGCCTCCCACAGAAGAGTGATATTCAGGTGGTTGGGTCCCCCCTGCTTTTGTTTTTGGAAGAAGAGGGTGCAAGACCCAAATGCGGGTTCACCGGCACTGCGGCTGGCAATGACAGCCAGTGACTCTGCCTTTCTGCAAAAATGAATGTGGGAAAGTTTCTTCTTCCTCCATAAATCAAATTAGGTGAAAAATTACTAAAAGGACATCTCCATCATTCACAGGCACTTCCATAGCAACCAGTGCAGGACTGCTCGGCTGAGCGCATCCCATTCATGGCAGGGAGGAGGGACCAGGACAGCAATGATCCCTGCGGATGCTGTTGGAGGCAATGGAAGGAAACACTTGCCATGCTTTTGCAATATAGGGTAGGACTGCTCAGAAATGTGAGCAGTGAGGTCTTTCACCACTGCAATTTAGAAATCATCCTGCTGCCCACAGAAGGATTTGGACTTAACCTCCCCATTCGCACAGGGAAAAAGTAGGTCTCAGTATAGAGGGCACACAGTACATCAGCCTTGAGTGTCCACATTATCAGGCAAAAGGCTGATGTACCCTTTGGACCTGCTTATGCCTTGGCACCTCTGCTCAAACAACCTGAAGAAAAGAGCCAGACAAATGCCACTGGTCATGGTCCTTGTAACCAAACCTTGCCCCAGCCTGCATTTTACACACACTTCTGAGCAAATGTTATGCACCATCTCCCCCACGTCCGGCCCAAAAAGACACTGCATTTCCATTATCTGGAGACTCAGTCTGGCTGCGTTGCTTTTAGAGTCTCTTTTCATTCTCCAAATAGTGATAGCAGGTTTTAATGTCCTCTCATATTAAGGGCAAGCAGGAGGGAAAATGAAAGTTAGCAGCAGCAAAGCTCTCTGGATCCCACTGGTCGATAGTCTGTAGCTTCTACCGCTTCCCATCCAGCCGGTGCTCCTCCCTGAAAATACTGTCTGTAACGGGAAGAAAATCTTGGCTAACTCGGTAAATCCCATCCTTTCCCACTAAAGCATCTGCTCAGCTTGGTCTCACCCTGCTGGGAGCCACGAGAAGTTAATGTGTCCCAGATCTCTGCCAGACGGCCCTGCCATGCCGTCCCCTCAGCAGGCGTGGAGCCAGCACGGACATGGCGGCTCCTGGCATCCAACTCTACCTCTTGGCACACACAAAAAGGCTTCCCACCCCAATGGCAATGACCTCCAGAGGGTGGGAATAACACAGGGGCTTCTGCTTCTGTGGGTCACCCTTTTGGTGAAAGGAAGGCCACAGCATTGTTATCTTCATCACATGCAAATTAAGCGTGACCTATCGCCCAGCTAACGAGGTGCCAAGGCTGGGGAGGCAGTTCCAAAGTAGCCGGATGGCCAAGATGAGGGTTGGCCTCGCAGCCAACACACACCCTGGGTCTGGCAGGGCCACAGGGAAACGGGTGAGTCTGAAAGGGCTGGAAACAGGGGGGATGCAGCTGAGGATGAGAAGGTTTGGGGGCTGGTGGAGGAACAGGATGAGGTAGGGGCAGGGATCCCAGATTTTTTCCACTTCAGTTTCCTCCTGTTACTATTCTCTGTCTTTGTTGCTCAGCTATGGGTCCAAATTCAATGTCAGAAATAAACGAGGACTTTGAAATACAAACCAGGAGTGGTTTCCGTTCTTTGGCAGGCAGCAGAAAATTAGCTTTATCCAGTGCTGCCTGGAAGTTCTACTGGTGCAAAGATTTTTCCTCCCCACCCTTCCTGCCACTGCTTTTGCTCCTCTTGCATCCCCCTCCTCCCTTGCCTCTGGCCTATGTACATGGATACCAAACCCACAGGTTTATAGTTTATCTCTTTATTGTGACACAATTTTTTGGAGTGTTTTGGAAGTTGTCCTGCAGGGCAGACCAGAGTGATGGGTGCTGTTGTCCGTGCCCTGCCATGGGCCAGCCCCTGTGCCCCTCCACCTCCAACTAGTGATCCCCAGAGACAGTGACAGCAGGGATAGGCTTTCCCAACTCACTTCTCAGTAGCTTTCTAGGCACTGATGGTTTGTCTTGTGTAAAACCCTCTTGATGGAGAGGGAACAGTGATTAAGTCCTAGGAATCCTTCCTCGCTGAGCAGGCTGGTCTACAGGGACTGGCTCCACAGCCAAGCCAAGTGGGGTGGCTTCAAGTGGTAAAGTCTGGCTCGAGGGGGCTCTTGCCCCTGAACTTGGAAGGGAAGTAGGGCCTGGCAGGACTCAGGGTGACTTGAGCCGACAGGACCAGCAGCAAGCCTTCCTGTAGTACCAGTGAGAGCACAGCTTCACCTTCAGCACCAGCACACAGTTGGCCGTCGCTTTGTCCTCACAGGCGTCTTCTGGGGAACAGAAGCACACACAGAAGGGGTTAAAAAGGAGTTGTGCTTCCCCAGCAGAGAGCAAAGAGCTCCCAAGGGCTTCTCTACCCCCCCTGCCCTCCCAGACGTACCTGGTGCCTCTGTGGGGCACGGCTGGAGTTGGCAGGTCTGCCTGGCTTCTGGTTTGGAAGTGGGGTCACAGCCCTGAGCCAGCGCTTCCCCCTGGTAGCACTTCACCTCGCGCAGCCGCACACCAGCACCACACGTCTTGCTGCACTGTCGGGGTCGAGAAAGAGGAAAGAGACTGTGAGAGGCATTTTTCATTTTCCTATAGCTCCCAAGTTCATTCTTCTAGTGAGGCCTCCCAGTCCCTGCTTTGGAGACTATTCCTGAGGAGGTTTGGATCAAATCCCACACTGTTCTCAAACTTATGCTCCCTTTCTGTTGCTGGAGGAGAGCATCCCCAAGTTGGGGTTGGGGCAGAGCAAGGGAGGAGTTTGCTTTCATCTTGCTTTCATCTCTTTAATGCAACTCAGATTTTTGTTTGGAGTGTTGATGCTGTGAGAGAAAATGGGTGCTGTGAGCCAGGCTCAGCTCTCCTCTCTTCTCATTCCCTAAATGCTCTGCAGCTACCATCAAGGGAAAGGAGGGGAAGACAGAACATGTACTCCTGGCAGAGGAGGGCACGGCTGTATCCTGTATGCCTGCAGTGGGGTGCAAGCTCTGGCTTGAGGCAATAAACCGCATGCTCCAAGGTTTTCTCCAGCCTGCGTGTGCCAGTCCCTCAACCTGCTGCCTGGTCTGCAGAAAAGCAGAGCTCAGGGTCCTATCCAGACCTAGCAGAGCCCTCAGCAGAACGTGCTGCCAGAGACCCTCAGCACAGGTCCCCCTCCACCACCCAGGGCTATGAGGCCTTAATCGCCCTTCCCCACCACCCCCAGCCCTACCTGAGACCAGGAGGTTGTGAACCACGTTGAACACGGCCTCCTGAAACAGGCAGCTTGTTCCTCGGGTTTCTGAGAGGCTTCACAGTCCTTTTCAGGGTACTCCCTGTACACACCGTTCTCCAGGCCCGCGCACAGCACGAGCCGGGTCTTCGTCCCTCGCCCACAGCTGGCATCACACTGGGAAGGGAGCGGAGCAGCCAGGTAACAAAGGGGGCTCAGCAGCTGCAGAGCTTCAGGTAAGCTCAGAAGCAAGGTGCTTAACGCCTGTGCTAACACCAGTCTAATGGAGGCAAGTGCTGCCCAGGTCACAGGAGCAACTCGTTTCTGCACGTTTCCCAGGGAGGGGGGACAAGTGCTGGTAATTAATGCTTAGCTGAGGTTCACCTTGGCTGGCCTTGAGAGCAGCTACCACAGGGGATCTGGAGCAGCCAAGGTAAGACTACAGGAAGCTGTTTCTGCCTTATTTTATGTGTTTCTATGTTCTCGAAAACCACGCAGCGTATGCATGTAGCAACCTACATCCTGGAGTACCGACAAGCTTTGTATGGGCCCAAGGGGACCGAAGTGGTGCACTGCAGGTGATGCACATGGACAAGTACTGCTGAGCCCACAGCTATGCAGGCTTAGCTGGGAGGGCTCCCTCCCTCAGGACACCACCAGAAGCAGGAGGAGGCAGGATCTACTCCCTGAGCCTCAAGGAGGCAGTTGTCAGTTTGAGATTTAACTGCTTTGTGCCCTTTTTCAGCACTGCATGGTCAGCATGGCTGGCTTGCATCCACCCTTAGTCATCCTGTGAACTCGCAGCTCCTCAGCTGAGGGAACACGGCAAAGAAGCTGGCACAGGCAAAGGTGGGGAGCTCAGCTGGTCTTTCAGAGCTCTGCTGAGTTTGAAAGCCTGGACACAGCTGAAAATTGTACTGCAGGACTGTGTATGACCCACACCGAGGATCAGAGCAGAGTACAGGTATCAAACTGCCTTGGGTCCCCAGGTTTAACCAGTTTGTGCTCGTTACCAGTGCTGGGTGAGACTCAACTGAGTGTAATCAGCAGCTATAAAGGGGGCGAAGTGGGAACAGAGGTTTAGCTATGGCTGGCAGGGAGAGGCCTTGGCTGCTTCCCT